ATGTTTTGAAAAAAGCACAGTAGGTAGACAGATACCCAGAAGCAACATCTGTCAAACACAAACATAAATTTATTGAGCCATTAATCTAAAAGTATACAAACACTGTGAGGCATTCTCTCTGACTCAGATAAAACACATGCAATTTGGAAAATCCAAAAAATACTGACACTAACACCATAATTTACACTCTTCTTAATATACCTGGTAAGATATTGGCATTAGGGAAAAGAGAATCATACTGGCTGATGATTTTCTTAAGGTACTGGTCAACGGTAAGTGGCAGTTCAAGGGAGTCAATGATGAGTTGAGCAGCCATGGCTCCCTTCATACCCATACATTGTACCTTAATCTCCCAAGTGTACACCTTGTTGTACTCCGAGGCAATTATCTGAGTGGCTTCTGTGTACAGCCTCTCTGTGTCTGTCATGGATACAAAACATTACTTATACTGTATAGGTGCAGTATTGTATATATTTCTTATCATTTCTGGAATCCACGGCTACCAATTTCTTATATGACTCAACATAGCAATAATGACGCACCATATCAAGAATCATATAAAAAAGTTGTGGCAGCAAAATATGAGGCTGTAACAAGAAAAATTATTATATATTATCAGAATACCTCCTGATGCTGGCTGTAGAAAGTGTAGCCTTGGAATGCAAGTTAATGGTCCAAAATCTTTGCATTCGCCTCCCTTAATCAGTGTATTACATGACATTTAAAATTAAATTGAAGTAATTTATTTACACATATTCTTTCAAAATACAAAAGTATCCACAGGGCACAGATGACCCCTCCATTTATTAATGAAACTGACTCAGGATACACAGAACTCACTCTTGGTCATGGCAGATCACATGTGAAGTTGTATAAACTCACTTTAAGTGGTTCAACAGCTGTAATTTGGCTACAAAAGTATAATAAATGAATTAATGAACAAATGGACAAATACAATCCAGTATGGTCTTGCTAAATCTAAAGAAATAAAAGTAAAAAAAAAAAGAATTATGATAAAGAACATATGTTTACTGTACATTATTAGCAATTTATAAGAAATTAAAAACTACCACTGTACAGTATTTATAAAAAATCATTTATAGTTTCAAAAGATGTCAATACCATAAAAGGTTGAACATGTTTTGCCTAGGAGATTCTATCTTGTACACACTGTCAAAGCTATTGGAATAATTAATATTAGTACAGTACCATATTGTGACTCCAGCAGCTACACAACTTTATGATTCATTAAGACTGCACATTGTATAAGATATGTGACGCCAAATTAAGGTTATAAATCACAGCTTTAAAAAAATATATAAAAATGGGGTATTGGAGGCATAGCAATAATATGCATGTATCTCTGTGAATGATTGCTGGTTAATTTGTTTAAGTGGTATCAGAGTCTCGTCTCCTAGAAACAGTGGTTCGATTCTTGTTCGACTCTATACTGAATCTGTGAAGTATGAGTCTTCGTAGTTTGGTGTCAGTCCCTGGTAGTCACCTGACTCCCATCCATCCTTGTGATCGCTGAGGTGAGCTCCGTCGTAAGTTCTGCAGATTTTGTTTATTCTTTGAGGATATGGGCATATTGTTCGCGTTCTTTTAAATTCCGATTCTGCCCGGGGTACCATCAAAGCTTGCTATGATTCTGAGATTAATAAACAATTGATCGAGTAGAGTTGATTGGTGACGAGAATTACCGGTAAAAACAAAGATGGACGCTCTCATCATCTGCTGTAGCAACACTCAAAACCATGTTCTCTTATCATTCACATACACCTCTCAGTGTTCTATGGTCCCCCCAGTACTGTACAGGGACATGGTAATCCATATACTGTACTACTGTGAGCAATATTTCCATCCCTCTCACTTGTCGTGCATCTTTCATCTCATCTCACCCTTAAATCTCCATCCTGGCCTTGCAGTGTCCCTCTTATCATCCACCTTTTTCAACTTCAGTCTTTTAACCATCCTTTAACTTCTACTTTCTCAAAACATCCATACCACCTTACCAAACCCTAGTCATTTCTCCCTCCGTGTCTCTGACAATCCTTCCACTTCCAAGTCAGATGGTGTCGGTGTCTTTTATTCTTTGCATCCTATTCAGCTCACATAATGCTCTAACACACATCATTTCCATTACCTGTAACCTCCTTTTTCCTCTTGAACCTTGATCCAGTACAGCATTGACAGCTCAACTACTCCACTATACAGTACAGTATTATCTCCAACTTTGCCTTTGAGTTTTTATTGTAAATTAATATAAAAAAACCTTAATAGTCGTGAACAAATTAACATGTAACTGAAGGAAAGCAAAAAGAAAATTATAACACTTTTAATTCCAGGTAACTTCATGGAGCATAATTAATGTTTTTAATTTAAAACTCTACCTTGACCTGAATTCATTAGTACAGTACTGTACAGTATAGTATTACATTCACAAAAATAATAAAATGTAAATGAGAATCAAAGAAAGTTAGAGATAGAAACAAACTATAATGATCAAATTGGTAATGCTTAAAATTATAGCTATCATAATTTTAAGTCATTAAATATTTGTTTTATTCAATTAAAGTAGCTTTGACAAAATTTCCATTCAGGGGGAATAATAAAACTAGTGTTCAATGAGGAAAGTTCAACCTCTAACTTACATTACCCTATTTTTTCCTGGCAAACAATATAAACAATTACCTGTATATAGTTATGTTTAACAAAAGACCAACAACAATCATCTTTTCAGGTGTCCCAAACTGAGAAAGAGATAGAGAGTAAAAAAGGGTTCTTGCTCATAACTTTACTGATACAATACTATACTTCTCTTATGTACACCCCTATGGTTTTCCCTTGTTTTTGGTGATGACTCATAAAATACTGAGAGTTGGTAGACTATGATAAATGTCTGTGTGTTATACTGTGAGGGGCAAATGATGGATCATGGCAGCAAGTAACCAAAGAAAGAAGCATTGATGAGTCTTTAATATTACCTCATGCATTAAACACCAAGCACAGTACAGAATAACTATACACTACATTATCATCAATAAATAACTACAGCTATACCTGGCATAAACTGGGCACTTGGAAACACTGTCTTATACACTCTACTGACTTTATCCAAGTACTGGTCAACAGTGAGGGGCAGGTCAAGTGTGTCTATATTGTACTTGGCATCAGCCCGAGCCTTCAGACCCATACATGCCACCTGCATCTCCCAAGTGAACGTCTTTCCATATTCAGAGGCCACTATTTCTGCGGCCCGTGTGTACAGGCACTCTGTGTCTGTAGTGAAAATACTAGACTGGGATCTATAAGGCATGAGAGAAGTGTGCATGAAACCAGTAAATGTTGCTAACATAAGATCACTTTACCTCAATTATAAAACAAGTACTGGGTAGTTTAGTAATTTAATTTGTTACAATAACAAAAACCAATTCTTGCAGCAATTCCTCTTAAAAATTACAACAAAAAATATACATACAGTACACTACTGTATATATAATACAGTACAAGTACTGCATAAAGGTATATTAAACAAAATTTATATTGCATAGTATTTTCCATCCCAACCATTACAGTTATTAACAGTTCTAACAAACTTTAAATATTGTACTAGTACAGATGGCAAATTCTTTATGTACTGTAGTTCCTATACAGCTATAATACAGTACAGTATTGAGTAATCCACTGTATGATCCAACTGTATGAGATACAGTAATCAAGAAAATAAATTTAAATCTAACTCATGTTATATGATCAAACTTGTAATAGCATCAATAAACTTGTATAATGTAAAAAAAATCAACAAAATAAATATATTTAAACTAACAATAATAAAATAAAAGTTAATATACGTACTGTATTTTAGATTCACCCTTTCCAACTACAAAGCTGAGTGACTGGAATTAAGAACTAAACACACAATCTCTTTTATATGCTTTCATTGATTCATTCTTAATGCTATAATATAGTTACACTATATAATCTCCTATATCCATCTGGTTTTGTCATTATCACTTCATGCACAACAGCACCACCCACCATCACCACCCCCATGTCTTGCTCTCCACTCATTCACACACACACACCTATGCGTCCTGAATATCCATCTCCCTCACTTTTAAAATGTTCCTCATGCCAGCCGCCCATCCTCTTCGCTCTCTTCTATCATTCTCCTCTCTTTACCAATCTTTCACTTACTATTCTGTCATTATATCCAGGCCATCCTATCAACCCTGGTCAGTTATCTGTCTAACAATTCATTTGCTTCCACACCTCTGTTTCCGTATTCCTTTATTTCTTGTTATCCAAATCACCCTTATATTACTTTCCAGCATATCTTTTCTTTGCTTGTGTTATGCTCATTACTCTTGCATCTAGAGTTCATACTTCTCATCTATACAGTAATGATGGTTCAATGGTTCCCTGTACAGTATATCCTGATCTTTGCTTAATTTGACACAATTCTCTCTCCACATATTTATCAAAGCATCCAAATTAAAATTAAAATGGAAGAAATAATAACAAAACAAATATTTAATACTGAAATAATAAAAAATAAAAATTTTTACTCTTGCATGATGGCCAAGAAAGTACTACAGGTAACCCAATGATTCTTAGCTTTCAGCAACTACAGGAGTACTCCAACACTGTCATCCCCACCCAATCAAACACTCATTTTACTGTATGGTGTGCAAGATGGAAACCCTGTATTTCACACTTCTGGGAATCAAACTTGAAGATATTCACTTGTAAGTCAATTGCTCTACCACTGAGTCATAGAGTCATAATGACATCAAATTCACCTATCCTGTACAGCATTTTTTTTCCAACTTTAAACACTTTTACGAACTGACATCATTTGGTTCTGACAATATTATAAGAAACAACTTAGAGAAAAAAAATGTAAAGTTATGTGAGGTACACAGCAATAATTCTACATATAACCTCCAAAAAATAAACGATTTGCCAACAATAATAACTCAACCATCGTGAGATACCTGGCATGAGCTGTGCAGATGGCATGATCTTGTGGTGAATCTGCGTCACCTGCTTGATGTAGTCCTCCACAGAGAGGGAAATTTGCAAGGTATTGATGATTATTCTAGCACAGTTTTCAGCTGTCTGTCCCATTTGGGCCACTTTAAGCTCCCAAGTGAAAATTTTCCCAAATGGCTCAATTACACTTTCTGTGGCAGCAGTGTAGAGTGTTTCTGTGTCTAAGAGGGAATAATGCTTTCTTAAAAACTAATGACAACTAATGATCACCAAAGTCTGCTTAATCCACCTGTATATCCACGGAGAAGAGAAAGAGAGGCACACTGGCACACACCTGTTGTATGGTCTGACAGATACAACAGAAAACTGAATTAATTCCTGGTGATTGTTGCCAACCAAGCCATCCGCATGAGGAGGTAGCAGTGGATATACTGTACTGTACTGTGTATTACTTACAACACCAACAACCAAGGTCAGACAGATGGGACATCTACACTGGCTGAGATCTCTGATCAAAATCTTGTGGTACTTTGATCCAAAAGTTTTCCAGTTATATATACAGTATATATATATATATATATGTATGTATGTATGTATGTATGTATATATATATATATATATATATATATATATATATATATATATATATATATATATATATATATATATATATATATATATATATATATATATATATATATATATATATACAGTACAGTATAAAAATCAATATAGATATCTATGCATGGCAACTATGGTATATTAACCAAAGTACAGTATCTTTGGTGAATGGTCACGACGGAATATTTACCAATCTGTCTTTTTCACCTTTACAACTAGCATGTCTATCTGCTCCCCCATTCCAAAACATTCTCTTGACCACTACATTTCCAACAGATTCAATATAAACATCCGCCCTGTCTATATGCTCCCCATTTGTGCACTTTCATCAAGAATGACTCCAAGCAACTCATATTGTATACAACTTATTTGAATAAAAGTTATTTCTGATAAAGAAATATTAACTTGGCATGTGGCTCTCAGTAGGATCATGTAAACCAGTTTAGTTTCTCCTCCTGATATATGCTCTCCTCTAGATCAAATCACAGTTGATTTTCACCTTGTATCTATAGATAAAAAAATTATGTCGTAGATTTCATCAAAACAGTATTATTTTGGGAGGGGAGTACTCAAAATGTGACATACTTCAGTCTATAGATCGTCCCCTGTTTTCCGCACATGCACATAAGAGCGGCGTGGATGTTTTGGACTGTGGGATGAGATAGACCGTGACAACGTACATGTTAGTTGTAAAGGTGAAAAAGACAAAACGAATCGCAAAATTTTATGATACTTTTCTTTTGTGACGTTTCCCTCACAAATGACTTATAATATGCGAGACGATCCAGCCGGTTAGGAGGTTATGTAAGACCGTTGGCAAGGAAAACTTCATAGATGAAAAGTGACTTAGAATTGTCTAAACTACTGATTGCAAAGATAAAATTCATGAGATTCGGCTGGTGATGACAAATACAGTACCCATGATTTACCCTACCAACTTTATTATTCATTTGTTTTGCAGCAATATGATTTATTAACTGTATTATTGGTATTATTGCATTTTTGCACCACACATTCCTACCCCTAATCTATTATCATATTAAAATAAGACGTCTAATTATAAGATAATTTTCTTCTATTACATTAACGTCGCAAATGTATAATAACGGAGATAGCGTATCATATTTTCTCTATTTTCTTCCATTAATCTTCCACCATTATCGCCTACCTCACCTCCCACACTGAGTGTCTCCTTCATAAATTATCACGCGCATGCGTTCCCGTACATGTCACGGCCAATCAAAAGCGTTTTTTTTTTTGCAACCAATTAAAATGATTTTTGGTTTAATTCGCTGTATTTTTGGCCCAATCAAAATCGATTTTTATTTTGGGTCTCTCATATTTCCAAATTTATATTCATTTATGACCATGGACGTCTGTGATGGGTGTCACTTAAATTACAGTATATGGAACTGGATTGCGAGTTTTGGGGAAAAAAAACAAAGAAACTGTAGCATTTTTTTGATTGCTTGGTGTTCTCCCGACCTCAGTAATGTGTCATAAGTGCAAGACTGAATGTAAATATCGCAAAGACCAACATATGTGGCGTTGTCCTAACTCGTCCCTTATCCCAAAGACAAAGAAGAGACGGCAATAAGGTAAGAAATAGGTGATTTCATCATATGGTGAGAGTCAATTAGGTTAGGTTAAGTTAGGTTACGTTAGGTTAGGTTAGGTTTTTCTTTTTCTAGTGTTTTTTGGTGTATTTTTTATTCGCTTAGCCATTATTTTTTTTCGGAAAACGTCCCACGAAAAAAATCGATAAAAAAACCTGCTAATTTCCTAATCGGTCTAAACACATAAATACATTTGAAAAATATATTTTTGACTTTCTAACAGAGTTGGGTGCGCTTATGCAAATTTACCGTATTATCTATGTACTTTTATATCAGTGATGCAAACCAATGCCTTTTAAAGAGAGGAAATGTAAAGTATTAAAGAAGTTTTACATTTAACTATGTAGGTCAACCTGAAAATGAAACATCAGTGACCACGTTAATTAAACCTTATATTACCTGGGATAGAAATGTATACCTAAAACTACTACCTTACCTAATAAGAGGCCATCCATATCAAATATAACATGTGTCACCGGCTTCAGGGGACACATGATGAAACTGTCTGTAAAATAAATTAAAAAGAAAAGTAACAGAGACGTGACAGATCGCCCAAGCAGCTAACGAGCCGATCGGTGGTGAAAAGGATAAAAGTAAAAAGGTAAAACCCTTGAGTCTGACCCCGGTTGAGTCCAGCTCCAGCCGCGTGATGAAGTAGAGGATGCGGGTCATTTATTTTTTTTTATTTATGTTATAATTATCATATTCAAAGCTGAAGTCATCATTTTAATTATTCAAATATTTTAATTAATTATTTAAGGAATCTTCAGAGTCGATAAAACCAAATAAAATAGGGTACCACGAAAATATATTGGCCCAACCATCTCAGAGATGATAGAGTCAAGCAAAGGCTGAACAATTAATAAGCAGCCCGTCAGGTTCTATGTCTAAAATTGTATGTGATATTATAAGAAATGTGATAACTGCCAATGAGAACAACTCTCATATCGAATTTATGTGGATTCCGTTCCATGTTGGAATTAGGTATCATGACCGTGCTGATAGACTGGCCAAAGAGGCATGTAATAAAGAAAATGTTGACCGTGACCTTGGCTTGTCCAATGCATTTTCATAGAGGAATTTTATCCTGGCATTACTTTTATTTACTCTATTATCTACGATTAATTCACCAGATAGAAAGAGTCAAGAGTTAGCCTACAGTAAATATTTCACTGAGGTTACAGGTGAGATGACTTCATTTCCACATAGTACCTCGGATTAGATTAATCATTTGAGTTTTCTTTTTGATCCTTATATACTATTGCTTCAATATTTTCGAGATGTAAGGATAATTTGTCTTAAGTAATTGTTTGCATGATTCCAGTTCAGATGATAACTTGTTCGTTATGTCATTTGGATCTTTGCCTAACACTAAAAGAGCAGGTATCAGCATACAGTACAACAGTTAACACTCATGAACATGCATTAAGGAAGAGTATTTTAAATAAGGTATAGACACATGACGTTAGTACTCCACTCATGATGTTTGAGTTACTTTTTAGAAATATCACCAATTTTCTGTAAATGACCACAGAGCAATAAGTTATGACACAGAGGCAGACATTTCAACAACGCACTCAAATAGTCCAGCCCGTACCAGGACCAGGACCAAGGTTGACGATATAACAGGCATGCCTCAGGCTAATAATAAAAAATCGTGGTATGAACAAGCATTAACTTACCAGAGGGATCCTAGCTGCCTCTTATCCCAGGAAACGCAGCCTAACAGTACGCCCTTAGCTAACCCTCACAACCTAATTACACACTAGCTTCGTATTTCGCTTCAGGAGTCCCAGCTGCGTCTCATGCAGGAGTAGGCTAGCTTGAATCCAGGTAAAAAAGTCACAGGTAAAAGTCACAGAAAAAAGTCACCTAACCTAACTTAACCTAACCTACGTGCATCATATATAAATTGTGTTGTCAATATGTAAAAGTCATGTATTGTCAGTTAATAACTGTTTTAAAATATTTTTAGTTTTATTACCTTAAATATGACTTTTTTTCCTAGCCAAAACTGTGACTTTTTTCCTGTGACTTTATTACCGTTCACCGGCTAGCTTGAGGCTATTCTCTTAAATATGCCTCATAAGTTCTGAGATTTGGACTGTATACTGGACTACCATTGTCATTTTAGTCAAGTTGTGTGCCACGACAAGGAGCTAAGGGCGAATTACAGCAGAATGAAGAATAAAAATAGTTGATCCTGAAGGTCTTTCCTGCATGTCGCTGGGTGACCAGAATCAAGTGACAATATACTCATGGTCATTCATTCACCCTGACAGCTGTAACAGACGTAGATAATACAAATATCACAAAACGCGAGGAGGCTGAAATGATTTTAGCTACAAACAAGAAGTGATTCTCGGGAAATAACCATTTAACAAGGAAAAGATAAAAACAAATATGAATGTGTTTGAAATTGATACATTGGAAAAGCGCAGATAAACATTACAATTAGTGACGTCCCTAATCCTGCTTATTACCTTTTAATACGGTGCTTCACATACTTTGACAATAAAAGTTTAACCTTGTACTTCTACATGATTTAATCTACTCTTGCGCCAGTTAGAGGTACTATCGTGGACTAAAGTTTGCTCCTTCCCAAACTGAAGCAGTATCGACCCGCACCAGATAACCACCAAGGTAAGTCAGTTGGGAGACTCATTCCCGGGTCACAGTTTCACTACAGGGAGCGAACTTTTGTCCACTATAGTACACTTGTTCTCTTACAAAAAAAAAAAAAAGACGGTACAGAATATTTCAAGCTGTTTGGAGAGATTACTATTTTAAATATACAGCTTCATTAAAAGATGTATTGTAAAATTTACACCAAAAAATAGTTCGGATTCGCAAGATTCCGTTCAATGATTATAATACCTTTTACCTTTTACTTTTATCCTCTTCGCCACTGATCGGCTTGTTAGCCGCTTGGGCGATCGGTCACGACTCTTTTCCTTTATATTCTTCACCAAAAGGTCGGCTCGCTAGCCGCCCGGGCGATCGGTCACGTCTCTGTCACGCACTGTTGGCAAATACTGGGCATGCACCGGCTCCTGAATGTACCTGAACCCGCTCCAGTGTTGGTCAAGTCTTCTCTTGAAAGAGCTCACACTCGGTGCCGTCACAACACTTTCTGGTAGATTGTTCCAAGAGTTTACAACCCTCACTCCGAAAAAGTTTGCCCTCACGGTTTTCCGGACTTGCGGCTTCTTCAATCTTGAGCTGTGACCCCTTGTGGGGCGAGCGTCCGCCAGCTCCAAGTAAGGACACTCAACTGAGTAGTGCCCCCTGAGATGCTTATAAACCTCAACTAGGTCCCCCCTTGCCCGTCTGTAGTATAAGCTAGGCAAGTTCAGGCGCTCCAATCTCGCAGGGTAGCTGAGATGCCGAAGTGCAGGCACCAGCTTGGTGGCCCTCCTTTGAACATTTTCAACCAACTGACAGTCCCTAGCATATCTCGGGGACCAGATGGGGTGACAGTACTCCAGATGGGGAAGCACTTCACTCCTGAAGATCGTCACGAGGGACGGACCGTCTAGATATCTGAACGACCTTCTTATAAGACCCAATAATTTATTTGCCTGATTTACCTTCTTCTCACAATGGCCCGAGAACTTCAGCTCATTGTCAACATACACACCTAGGTCCTTCTCACACACAGTCTCAACTAGTACATTTTCTTCATCCCGTTGGGACATATGGTACGCCTCCTTACCGTTGGTACGCCCCAGGTGCATCCTCTTACACTTCGTGACATTGAATCTCAGCAGCCATTCCTTCGACCATTCCTGGAGCCCACAGAGGTCCTTCTGCAGCTCTTCACAGTCCGCTTGGTTCTTAATTTCCCGAAATAACTTGGCGTCATCGGCAAACATTTGTATGGAGGAGTGTACAACGTCAGGCATATCATTTATGAAACAAACAAACAACAGCGGGCCCAATACACTACCCTGCGGTACCCCACTTGTTACAGGTACAGATGACGATTTCGTGCCATTAATCACCACACATTGCTTGCGGTCATGTAGAAAGTCTTCTATCCACGCTAGGACATTTCCCCGAATTCCGTACCCTTCCAGTTTGATTTTCAGCCTTTCGTGGGGTACACTGTCGAAAGCCTTGGCAAAATCTAGGTAAATATTGTCGATATTACCACCCCGTTCTAGAATATGGGTCCAAATATCCAATACCTTGAGCAATTGTGTCAAGCAAGAGCGCCCCGGCATAAAACCGTGTTGGCAATCTTTTACAAGGTTGTTTCGTAGTAGATGTTCCATCGCTGCATCTCTGATAATACTCTCAAGTACTTTACATATTATGCTGGTCAGGCTCACCGGTCTATAGTTGTTCGTGGAGTGCCTATCGCCCTTCTTGAAGATAGGACTCACATAAGCCACTTTCCATTCACTGGGGACCATTTGTTCATCCAGGCATTTACAAAACAGAATCTTCAGGGGCTCTGCAAGCTCGTTGCACAGCTCCCTTAGCACTCTAGGATGCACCATGTCAGGTCCAGGACTCTTATGGACCTTTAGCCTGGACAGTTTATTTCTAATACCCTCTTCTGTGAACACAATGTGGGTCAGTGCTGTGTCGAACCGTCTGTCCTCAAACGCAGGAAGGTTAGTTGCATCCTCTCTTGTGAACACTGAGGAAAAGAAGCTGTTCAATGCCTCAGCTTTATCCTGGTCAGAATCTGCGTAACTACCATCTTCAAGCCTCAGGTCTGATACTCCTACTCGCGTTTTCAATTTCGACTTTGCATAGCGGTAAAACGCCTTTGGGTTTGACTTGACCTCGCGTGCAACCAGCCTTTGGAACTCCTTTTCAGCCCTCCTACACTCTATCTTTGCTTGGTTTCTGGCTCTTGCATACATCCTCCTGTCTTGCTCATCGTTTGACCCAACCCACGTCTTGAATTTCTGGGTTTTCTTCTTAATTTTGTCGACCGCCGCATGGTTCATGTGTAGGGATCCCCTCGTATTCCTAGAAGCACTGGGTTTGGTCTTGGGTATATATTTATCGATCAAATGGGTCATTTTACTAGTTATGATATTCAGCGTAGTGTCTGCGTTCTTGTACCTTAATAAGTCAGGCCAGTTGATACCCCTCATCTCTTCCCTCATCCCATTGTAATTTCCCTTGTAATATTTGCACCTTGGCCTGGCCTTATCTTGAACTAGGTAACAGTTAAATCTGAATGACAACACTGTATGGTGACTGGTGCCAACTGGGGCAAGGTGTTCCAGTTTGGCCACCATACCCTCCTCGTTTGTTATGATGAGGTCAAGTGGCTTGGGTGTTTGTTCCCCTCTGTAATGTGTCGGGTCTCTCACATGTTGGAACAGAAAATTATCTCTCAGAGTTTCTACAAAAAGAGTAGCAGGATTATTCAAGTCATTCGGGGTTGACTCGTTTCTCCAGTCGATGTCGCCATAGTTAAAGTCCCCCATGATAAGGAGGTGGCTGGGGTTGAGCATCGCCGCATTGTTTATTAAGGTTCTTAAGTTCCTTTGATTTAGTGGGCCACAGTTCGGGGATCTGTAGATACACCCGACGATAAGTAAGTCCCCTCCCTTTAATTTAATTTTACACCACTTGGACTCTTCAAAGACATCCTCTCCCTGTACCCTCGCCTGGCTGGCTCTAAGGTCTTGCCTAGCGTAGATAACCACACCCCTCCTGCAGGATTCTTGAGTTAGGTTCGTAAATGAGTCATATCCAGCAATACTGAACTCACATTCCTCTGGGTCGATTCTCCTGTTCTTGTACAACAGTTCTACAACTCCTACAATATCTGGTTGGTGTACTCTTAGTAGTGTTTCAAACTCCTCCCTCTTATCCAGGAACGTGTCGGTATTAGTGTACATGACATTCAAGCCAGAATTTGTTCTCGGTAACGTCTCTGCTCTTAGTAATAAACCCGCTCCACCCACATTCTCAGAAGCTGCAGCATTTGCTAAGTACACTGTATTTTGCAGGGTGTGGTTAAAAATTTCATTGTTTACACGGCGCTCGTTCCCTCCTGTCCGGTAGGCTGAGCTGGTGCCGCCTCCCGGGTGGGGGGTTGAGTGGGTGGAGGGTGCACTGCTGCCCCCTGGCCCTGTGTCGGCACACTTGTTTCCACTACCCTCCCCCTGAGTATAACCCATGTGCACCTGTCCCCGTTCCTTCTCGACTCCTCCCTCCTCTGCTTCAAGTCCAGCAGGAGCTTCTTGTGCTGTTCCCTCTGCATTACCGTGCGGTCTGGGTGAATAAATACATCTCGAAATGCCTCGCTCCTTGCTAAGTTTTTTGCCTGCCGGATAACTTGCCATTTTTCCTCCTCACTCCCTAGTGTGATCCTGAGGGGGCGAGGCTTAGCCCCCTGCTTTTGTCCCAGTCTCCTCACATCCTGAGGGGTTGCTGGAATCTTCAGAACCTCTGTGCAAATATTTTGAAACAGCACCTTGTCGTGTGTTTCCTTACTCACAGTTCCCTCTGCCTGGCTCTCTGGGACTCCAAAAACTATTACATTGTTCCTGCGCTGGAGCCGTTCCTGGTGTTCCTCCTCTCCCCTAACAGTAGGTCCGTTAATTTTCATTTCTTCGACACACTTTTTCAGAGTCCCAATCTGCTGTAGAACCTGTACTGATTCTGCATTACTCTCCGCCCCCCCCACCCGTGGCCCTCCTAATACGTCCGCATAGCTCCTCTTAGCAACCACCTCCATTCTATTAGCTACTTCCTCAGTCTTAGCAAGGATCTCTTTCTCAACTTGCTCCAGTTTGTCAACCAGCAGGGCTCCTGCTTCATCTATTTTCGTCCCTAGAGAACTCGTTCCCTTATGGATTGCAATCGCTTCATTCACCTTGACTATGCAGCCAGGGCAATACCAGCAACAGCCATCAAGCTTTACGGCAGTTAGTAACTTCCTAGACGTTGCATTAGTTAGGCCTGCATCCTCCATATTAGATGTTATTTTTGAGCTTCATCTTCAGTATATTAGATACGTTGCAACATCTTCATTTGTGAGGAAAATTCAACCTGCGGGCCTTTAGAATTTAGATAAACGACCCATCCATTGTGCCCAAGTCAAGTTTAAGATTTAGTAAAACTTTCAGCTCGCTCCATAACCGTTCAACTTCCATATAATACAAATCGGCTCATAAGTTATGAAATATTTTGTTCCGATTATTTTATATTGATTTATGAATACTCGGTTGGTAATCAAAATACTTAACACTTGCCTTCAATAAAGTTCATTACAAAATGAGAATATCTCAACTTTTAGAAGACGATCATAATGGTACAATTCAATTAAAATACAGTTCAGCAGCATCCAATCTCCTGATATAGCGAAAATTTAACATGGATATTAAGAATGCATAATGTCATTTGGGGATTTATTTACTCAATCCACCTGCCCGTCAATGTCTTAAAATTCAGCGGGAGAGACGTGTCCCGCCCTTACTTCACACACCGCCGACCACCTGTTGGCTCTGAGCTTCCAACACTATGACGTCATAACAAAAGCTCCGCCCACAATAATCCTTGCCGAGATCAAGTCCTCTGTTAAATGTCAATTAATCTAATAAAGAGCTCCATTATTAGTGTATTTTATTTGTTATGGGATATAATGTATTTGAACCTTCACTCTGGTAACATATCAAGCCTAAAAACTGAGTAATTCATGTTTCCTCTCCACTTGAAAAGACCTTGGCGCATTAATACATGACGTCATGAGCCAGCTGTTCTTGTTGTTGTGGTAATGGTTGGTGGGACTCGGCTCCTCTGTTCTAAAAATAGACGTTGTATTTACGGTAAGTGAACAATTCGAGAGTGACTTCCACAGCAGAGAGGTGCACACGTCTCTGCCTCACGGATATGATTGATTTTTCAGAGACTGTCTGCTTCTACAGGTTGAAAATGAGTGTATTTAAAGCGGGAAGTCGGGAGATGTGTTCCAAGATAATTACAATATCATTTTATATTTTTATACGTTTGATGTAAATGATTTTTGTTGCTACTGCTTTCGGTGTTATGGAGACGGGTGCCAGACGTACCGAAAAGTCCTCCAATATCGTTCATAGTAAAATGGGAAGAAACGCCGTGGTATGCTTGGCCCTCTTGAAACTTAAGCTAGGATGACACCCTCCTTGACACTAGCCAGGCCAAGTTTGTTACCACCTGATTTAACGCTCCAAGTCACATTTGGTTTTTATTCATTGTGAGCTTCTCTTGGGTATGGAAAAATACGAAGCGAAGGGAAAGAAAAATAATTATATTTTACTATTAAATTATAATACAACTTTCTTCATTGTGTTTGATCGTCGTGACATTGAATACAGAAATATTTATGTAGGTGCCGTGTTTTATTGTATGTTCATGCAAGTTATCGACTCGTTAAAAAATAATGACCTGTGCGACGAGCTGTAGAATATGCTCCTGGACTAGGTAGCATATGTGTGTTACAGCCGTGCTCGTGGCTCGCTACTAAATTACAAGTATATTAGTTTTAAATAAGAGGCCTTAATGCGGACACGTTCTTCATGTGACATTACGCTTGTCATTTTTTGTGTATAAAATTATTACGCCTAAAGGATGGTAAACTGGTCCGACGACATGCAGCCAGTCATAACTAATAACTACTGTACTAGATAAATTTATTTAGTTAGCAGGCAGCCTCTTTTTTTGTAAAGGCTGTCAAACATAAGAGAGGAACCCAAGAACTCCTCTTTTTTATTAATCTGTTAATGGTCGGATGAAACAACGATACGGAGTTTTTTAATATCTATATTTAGTTCCTCCAATTATATATTAAAATTATATAATAATTTACGATGGCAACAAATAAATTGAATTAAGGAGAGTAAAGTTAAGGGTGTGGGGTAATTGAAATAGAAAGAGGATTGCGTTTTACCAAATCTTGGTTAATGATTATGGATTTTCATCGCACGGAGACAGCAGGTGTTTCATACAGAACTGGTAAAGTGAAAAAAAAAGTTGACGTCACAGGAAATATTTCGCCAAGCTTCTGGGAATATTGATTATATAATTTGTTGAGAGCCGTATAACGGATTCGTTTTAATGCGAGACCTCAATAAAGAAGTTACTTTCTTTGGAGTTGTACAGTAGAGAACTTGAGGCAGTCGCTGGTGATTAGTGATACACACACACACCGGTATATAATAGCTCATGTGAATTATCTGAATACTGCTCACTCATGTATACCGGGATTGTTACACTGTATTGGGCAATCACACGTAGCCTCTCTATACATATGTTACAGATTTTAAGCAATATGACAAGTCTTATTACACGCAACAAAGACTTGGAATAAAGCAAGGAAGGTAGAAGACCAATTAACAAGTACAGTACTGTACTTAATTGAGGGATTTAATTGAATTGAAAGTAGTAATTAACTTTGAGGTTTAACATTGAATTTTAGACATTAACTGAGAGGATCATTATTTAAATATAGACATTAACTGAGGGGATCATTATTTAAATTTATACATTAACTGAATGATCATTATTTAATTTTAGATATTAACTGAGGGGGTCTAGGACAACTGGCCACCGCCATCTGGCCGCAGCCCATGAAGTACCTAACCTAACCTAACCTAACCTAACCTGCCTTGAGAGCGCAAAATTAGGCGTTTGCAGTTTACCCCCAGTCCGCGGCGGCCAGATGGCGGCGGCCAGTTGTCCCATTCCCTAACTGAGGGGATCATTATTTTATTTTATACATTAACTGAGGGGATCATTATTTAAATTTAGACATTAACTGAGGGGATCATTATTTAAATTTATACATTAACTGATTTTTATGAATTTCGATTTTAGAACTGAACAGGTTTTTATATAAATTCCATAGGTATATAAATCGAGAAGTAAACTAAGGTATTTTATAAACTTTGAAATCAATAATAAAATGAAGGATGTTATATGTTTACCTCGTGTGTTATAAATAATTTAAATCTTACTACAGTAGTTAACTGAGGACCGGGTAAACTTTTCACATTGTCATTAAGTTGAGGAATTCTGAACTTTATATTTTGGAATTTATCTGTGTGGTTTATTTAAAAATTTAAAATCAATTGAATGTGGGTTTATAATTTGTAAATGTAGGTTAGGTATTCTGGGTTTAATTTTAAATCAGTGTGAAGGTTTAGCAATTTGAAGTCGAGTAAACTATCTTGGGAAGCTTAATGTATTTTACACAACATACCAAGGGCTTATAAGTTTTAATTTTGTCAACTATCTGGTAGCTGTAATAAACTATAGATATACAGTAAATGTGAGGGTTTATTAGATGACTGAATGAAGTATTTGGTAAGTGAAATTGTTCAGAGTAAATTAAATGGCATGAGTTGAAGTTGTAGTCCAGGGTGTAGTAAGTCACAGTTCTATTAAAGTGAAAGCAAGTTGTTGATTAGCTATAAACTATCGTGTAGGTAATTATAATAAATATACTGTGAATGAGTAGCTTCGTACTTTATATAACCTAACCTAACCTAACCTACCCTAACCTACCCTACTTTACCCTAACCTACCCTACTTTACATATAATTTGGTAATCTAATGATGGTAAACGACGTCTTAAATGACATAGCAAATTTTACTATTGTTTATAAGAATTAACTGTTATTAAATTGTGGCAATAAAAAACAAAAGTTATACTTATTTGGCAAAACCGTCAGTTGTTTTTTAAAGCATAATCGTCTAGCATGGCGTATATAAGGGTGTTTCAGATAAATGTAAACACACTGACTTACAGGTGATCGTGGAAATCATGTCAATGGTTACACTGTACAAGGTCTACTGGACTAACCTAATGGTGTGCTGCCAAACCCACTTGATAGCGGCTGAACTGGCGCGGCTAATATTAGGTAACAATTGGATAATAAGATGAAGAGAGGTTGAGAACTACTACTATAAAGTATAATTTGGCGGTCCTTGATCAGACTCGTTCATCAGTCCACACCGGCGTGATGAAGCCTCTACCAATTTATCTCAATTTGGTTTTGGTTGAAGCTTAAGAATCCAATTGCTGTTTGTGATCTCGGGATTAGAATTGCGTCTGTCATATTATGAAAGACACTTATGGTTTTGGGCTGAACGATCTCTAGTTTTCATGGTCTGCCCTGACACTAGCCGGGTTGAAATAGGTGTTTGCTCTCCATCTGAGAAAGTGGTTGAAATTGTTTACAGTACATCAGGTATTACGGAAATCAGGAAAATAACCAAACTGAGATAGCAGCAGGGAAAATAATGTTTGAAGAGGAAACTTTTCTCTGGAAATTTGACCTTAAATTCTTTTGGGATACGCGGAAACTAAACTTAATTTCATTTGTTTCCAAGAGTTTTCCCCAGGGAAGGAACGGTTTGCAATTCTAATCTCGCTTAATCACCTTTTATCTAATCAGCTGACTAATTGATTTTCCTTATCACCTATTCTATCATGGAACCTACTACCCAAAACAAAACCTTCCGAGAAACGATATTTTTCCCAATCAGATATATTTTTTAGTACGTAGAAAGAAATATACAGTATGGTAGTGACACCATCCTAACCTAAACTATACTGTAGGTAGGTTGTGATGACTTAATCCCTTGATTATTATTATTTACCCGTCTAAGCAAATTATTTAACCTCTTAAACACTGGGACTTAACCCCTTGAGTACTGTGATTTAACACCGTAAGTACAGTGACTTAACCCCTAGTGTACTTTGAATACAATATCTTAATCCCTTAAGCACATTCTTAACTTTTTGATTACCGTAACTTAACCCCATGAGTACAGTCACTGCTTAAGGGGTTAATTCATGTACTTGGGGTTGGCATCTCACTGAAGGGGTTAAAGAAGGTATAGCGCGTTTTTCCTCAGCTGAGAAAAGATGCCCGCCCCCCCCCCTCAAAAGATACAGCTGATTGGCTGTTGCAAACCTGTCCGATTTTGTCCTGAAGTAATGATGTGTTTCTAAATGAGTTTATTCATAATCGGTGGGATGACCGTTTCTGACGAGAAAGATATTTAGCTAAATTATATCAAGATCCATACATTCATTATTTCAAACATAAGCACGTAGGAAGTTTATCAGAGGCGGGAAAAATATAAAGTTGTTCGCAGTCATATTTCCCGCCTCTGCTGGCGGTCGTGTAATATTTCAATGTGATTCTGATCTTTTAAAATGTTGTTTTTGCATAATGTAGTATTACTGATTCTTAATTTGTCTTAGTAAGCCTTATTGTGAGTAAAAATAAGTATATATTAAATGTATCATCCAAAAACGTGCCCTTGTTTCACAGTTCATGTATAATACTTCTGATAAACTTCCTACGTGCTTATGTTTGAAATAATGAATGTATGTCCCTTTATATAATTTAGCTAAATATCTTTCTCGTCAGAAACGGTCATCCCACCGATTATGAATAAACTCATTTAGAAACACAGCTGAGAAAAAACGCGCTTATAGTAGCATCAGGGTCGGATCCGGCTTTCAATATATTGTTTTTATGGGGAGCAGGGTTAGGTTAGGTTAGGTTATGTTTGCTTTTGGTCAGGTTACGTTACTCTTGCTTATAGATTACACTAATTTAGAGTATGTTAGGTGAGGTTGATTAAGTTAGACGTGGATGATTCGTGTGTGGTCATAATTAGGTCATAATAACCCGTTCTGATAGAGGCATAAATTCCGAGCTGAATTCGGATCGGTAACAACGATCTTTTAAGGAAAGTTTGGAGGTTCGCGTCTAGTGCAGTATAGTCTTGTGATTATTACCAGGTCTTTCCTCCCTACTATCACTGCGTCAGG